AAAGTTCGAATTGCTTCCCCACGCACCCTATTCGCCAGATTTAGCCCCCTTGGATTATTTTCTCTTTCCAAACTTGAAAAAATGGCTTGGTGGTAGAAGATTTATCAACAATGAAGAGGTGGAGTCTGCGGTTAATGGCTATTTTGAGGAGTTCAACGGTTCTTACTATAAACAGGCCATCGAAGCTATTGAACATCGCTGGGAAAAGTGTATTGAGCTAAAAGAAGACTATGTTGAGAAATAAAGATATTTTTCCCCAAATTTTTTGTGTTTTCTTTGTTAGGTCGGGTACTTCTGAGGCCACCCTCATAATTAGGAACCTGTAAAAATTTTAATCTATCTGCAGAAGTTAAAAGAAATATAAATTATTTTTTAATGTGGTTGTGTAAGTGTCGACATTAAATTCAAGAAGGCCCTTGTTATTGCACTGATGTGAAGAAAACCCGCGGTCTTTGGAAATTCATAATTATTAAAAGTAATTCCTCTAAATTCCGTTTCAAATTTTGGCAGGTTCTTAACGAGCCATACAATCATGTCTCGTTTAAATTAATTATTCTTTATACTATTACAAGACGGATTGTACTTATATCACGATAGAAAAATTAAAAACAAATATTTGAAAAAAATATTATAATATGTTACATTGAAACTTTCACAACATTGTTTACACTTCGAATTTTGATAACATTTAAATGGGAAAATAATTCTAATTCAAAATTATAATAAAATGTATATGTCTTTTATTGAATAATGGATGTAATCGTAAATCTCGATTTTAAAACACATACAATTTATATAATGACTTATGTAAGTTACGACTTAGATCGGATTTACTTAAATTTCATTCAATTACGAAGTAAAAACAGTAATTTGCAATTGATAGTAAATAATAATAATATTTTCTTCTTCTTTTTTTAGAATCTTACATATAATAATGTAATCAATATGGAAATTAAAGAAGATGATAATTTTCAATATCTGTTCTTCTGAAATTGAAGAACGAGTCGCAGAAGAAAATGTCGAAGAAAACATCGAAGTGAATAGCGGAGAATATTTACTTGAAAATGATATTTATGATGTGAATTCGTACGATTTATCCGAGGATGAAATGCAAAGTGAACATGAAGATGAAGAATGTTTACATCTCTAATTGTAGATTCCAAAGAAATAGCGCACATTTATTTTTCCTTAATATTAATCCATTTCGAGTACGCATCGATTATTACGAGATACATATGATCGCTAATCGGTCCGCAAAAATCTAGACGTATGCGATGGTTTGAACTTTGAAGCCACTTCCAAACATGTAACGAAATCTTTGGGGGATTTTTACATAAAAAATTTTCTATTTTAATTAAATTTTTGGTGAAACTGCAAAAAAGAGGAGCTGCTGTCGACCATGACTTTGAAATATGTTAAGAAAATTTTCTGCTTTAAAGTATATTTTACAACTTTCCACACAAAGCGATTCTCATTCCAGCATCCCTCCCCTCTGCTTGGGGGCGTATGATTTTCATATTTTTTTATATAATTTTTGTTCTTAGAATAGAATTTTTTCCTGTTTTACTCTGCATATATACAATAGTTTACGTGGTTAGAGTTAGGGTTATTATATACTCTTTTTTTTTGTTTGCGAAAGAAAAAAAATCTTCACAATGCCCATCATCTGGGGTGCTTCGAGAAGAATTTATCCGAATAATGGGAAGACGCCCAGGGGTCGGTCCCCTGGATGTGCAGGATTCGATACATTTGCATCTCTAAAAGAGACACATCGCCTACCTGCTAAAAAAAACTCCCCCTGTATGCAACACTACCGCCAGACTAGATGAGTACACCTCGGAACTGCTTACCCGGCATTTCGTCAGGGTGCATCCAAGTCATGGTCTAGCTCCTACTATAATTGTCCGATATCCTACAATAAAATTACTTAATCTAACCTAAATATGTCCTAACCTAACGTAAATATATCTGTACACTATACACATGTCTATTTTTCCGAATTTGAAGAGGCGAAAATGAGAAGCACCCGTCCCCTTTCTAGAACCTGACGCTCACGTTCGGCTGCCTATTTCCTCATCATCAACTTACAAAAATCCGCAAGGGTGGTTAAGCAGTGAAAGGAATCCAGAGCAGCCCCCATTATTGCGTGTAAGACCTGTCTACTAAATCTACGTTCAGCGCCTCAAAAAGCGCATAACGCTTGTCAGCCCAGGATGGGCAAAAAAGCGTATGCATGGCAGTGTGCACTAATGATTTACTATGTACACACACTGGAGAGCCTGATCGCTCTATTTCGTATAAATAGGTCTCAAAGCCATGACCCGTCAAAATCTGAGTCATGCGGTACGTGAAACCTTCATGAGGACGCATCATCCAAGCATCCAAGCAATCGGCGAGGGCGTCTCTCACTGCAGCAGCAGACGCCTCCGGAGGGAGGCTCAGCAGATGTCGTCAGCATGCCATACAGCGACGCTGCTTCACTTCTTTCAAAAGAGACTGACCTAGGTATTACGTACCCATTCCTTTGCACAATCAATCATCTACGCAGATAAGTGCACCTGAGACGATCGGTCGCAAACTTAAATGGTACTATCTTTGCCAAAATAAACGTTGCCTTATATGAGACAGTATGGTACGCCCTAACGACTCGGAGCGCCAGCCGCCGTTGGAGCTGCTCCACCTTGCGGCAGAAGTTGCGGTCGCCTGCATCGATTTGCACCCAGATAGGAGCACTATACAGGACGACCTATCACCACGACCGCCTAAGCACGGCGCTTGCTTTCATGAGGCCTATTGATATTGGCCGTCAACCTACCCAAGGCCGCGGCCTTCGGGAGAAGGAGATGGAAATACTGGAAGGTCTACCTCGAATCCAGGATAAGTCTCATATATTTCAAGATAGACCTCACGAGAATCATTGCTTGCCCCCTTCCCCCACTCGAAAAGAAGCGTCTAGTCATATTAGTACGTTATACCTCGTAAATGCTATAATCTTCGTCTTATCAACAGATTCCTTTAATCCTAGACGTTCAATAGTTCTAATCACCTTGGCCAGCCTCAACTCCGCACGCAGGAGAGCCTCCTCCAACGTCAAGACTCTTGCCACTATCAAAGTATCATTGACGTAATATAAAGTTAAGCAGCCTACCAGCAATCCCAACCACAACCGAGTGGTATCCTACAATCCACAGAGCCGGCTCTAAGACCGAACTTTGGGGAACACTACAAGTCATTGGCGATTTTGTAAGGGAATCCTCGCGGTCAACGTACACGAAATACCTGTCCGACAGTAATCTCCGATGACCCGCTTGAAATACTTCGGGACCTCCAGAGCAGAGTAGATAACCGGCCACGGGAGGGAGTTAAAGGCATTGGCAATATCCAAAGGCACCGCCAACACCATCCCCCCATTCCGCAAGCCGTCATCCACCCATTCCTTCAGTCGCCAAATAGTGTCAATGGTTGATCGACCAGTGCAGAAGCTATACTGGTTATCCGAAATCCTATCAACCAATTCCAGATGCCGCTACAAAACGACGATACAGGACCTTTTCGAACTTGCCCACCTTACTCAACAGGCAGATAGGCCTATATAAGGAGGGGAACAAGTCGGGCTTGTCTAATTTCTTGAAGAGGACCAGTCTCGCAACCTTCCAATTGGAAGGGAAGCGGCCTTGTTAAAAAAATGTGGTTCGCACCCACAATTCAGCGAGCAACCGTCACCTTTAATACTCGTCCGGCGATCCCGTCTGGGCCGGGCGCCTTATCTTAGGATATCTTTTTACGCGTCATGATTTCCCCACCGGTTACAGCGAGGTCATCCTCCCACCCTAATGAGGCGTGCTCCCTCTCAACAACCGTCAAACGCGGGAAATCCCCGCAACGATCTTGGCAACAATTTTTGGAGGAAGGTTTCCACCAACTAGGATAAACCCTTGAGAATTTACCCATCATTATCCTGTAAAGCATGCCCCAAAGATCCGAGTCAATAGTCTCCAATAATTCCCTCTATAGCTGAACCTTGGAACGCCATATAACCTTTCTTAGGTTCTTCTTAGCCTCTCTCAGCTCTGTCCAGAGCTCGCGTTTCCTATCAGGTTGAGCCCGCCTGCGGATGCGTGTAAGACGCCTGCGACACCAATTGCATAGGACATGGAGATCCGAGATCTCTTCATTCTACCATTATGCCAAGGATCTGCCAAAGACAGATCTCCTCGACATAGAGAGGTCTCTGAGATCTCCCTCAGCGCCTTACGCGCATAAATCAATATCGCGTATTCATCACAGGTGCGTCCCTCCAGCGGCGGAGTCCAGGCTTTTACCAATGCACTGGCTTCCAGGAAGTCTTCATTAACTCTCCTCATCGATCATCTAGGGAAATATTTTTCAGACGCTCGCCTAGTGAAGGGACCGACCATAAAAGTCCTTACGTTCATAAAAATGTATTGGTGATCTGACAAGGACGGGACAAAGCCCTCGTTCAGTAAACACAATCCCAGATTATCAGCCCACTCTGCCAATAAATTCCCTCTGAGATTGCTATTGCTGTCCCACAAATGGGATCGAGTGTTGAAATCGCCTAAGACTAAAATTGGCTTGCCCAAGCATCTGGATATGTTATCTTCTAACTCAGACAAGCTGTAAGAAAACTCGGCAGAGCTAATGTTGAGGGAAAAGTAGCAGCTATAGACTACTCTTCCCCATTCAACAGCAACAAAACCCTCACCGCGATTCACCGCGGAACAGATCGCAGCAAGACCACTGCTAAGTAATTGCGGAAGTGGAAGGTACATTTGTCGATGTACACCACCTCTCATCCGCTAGATCAGAGTGGGGCTCCAAGATAGCCACTAGCCCCAATCGCTCCTCTTGACAGACCAGCGCAATCAAATTTTGCGCGGGTTTAGAATGATTAACGTTTATTTGCGCGTCTATCCATCAGAAAAATCCATCACCATTTTCTCCTCCGCAGCAGTCTCCCAATCAATCATTAGCATCGCACTTTCACCCTGCTTATCTGGACCACCATTATAAGGAGGGCACTCCGCTGTGCCTGCTTTATGATTCGCGTTAATACTATGCGAGACGCACACGGGGCAGTGTGACTTCGTCCTGCAGCCGAAGGTTTGATGTCTCTTTCTTCCGCAATTAAAACAGAGACCCGTTTGATCAATCGAGCTCTGACAATTTATCCGAGTATGCCGATTGCCAGGCACCTGAAGCATTGTAGGCGGCGCCTTGCCAAGGAAAAAACTCTGGCAGTCGATCAGCCTCTCAGTCAGGATAGAAAGGGCACTGTGCTCACACAGAGTTAAGGCCTCCCCGTCCAGGATGTAAGGGCCCCACCCTAATATGGTATCTCCTCGTGCCATTCCAAGAGAAGTTATCACGAGCCTATCACCACGTCATCAGTAGTCACAGAGTGCACATCAAGCACTCGGACGTCCGATTTTTTAATCGGTCTCACCAAAACTTTTCCTTCGTGCTCCAGAAAGACAGATCTGAGTCTTCTGGAGAATTCATCGGCCTCAGGAATCGACAAGAATACCCCCCGTCTGCGCCTTCCTAATCTTTGTATCGACAACTCGACGAGGTCGACCTTGCTCCTCGCCAAGCCGATTATCTCCGCATACGAAGGTCCATCCTTGCTACACTTTATGAAGACCTCGGCGCCTAAACGTGCGGATATGCAGACGCGGGACGAGCGGAAGGGAGGGGGGGGGGATCGAAGATCGAGCCTCACAATCCGCAACGCCATTCGACTGGCCAACTCCGTCACCATGCCTAGACACTTCCGTACCCGTACCTGCCTCAGTTACAGGCATAACAGGGCGACCAGGCGGCGCGCTAACTCCAGGCTAAGGAATGTTCTTATTCCTCTTTCTCTTTTTCCTCTTTCTAGACGGCTGGTTACTTCGAATGTTACTTGTATCTTCCTCGGTGATAATGGACGTCCCAATCTGTCAATTTGCTTTGGGACATGGAGTTCATCATTTAGGTTTAGAGCCCCTTATTGGGGGTCGAAAGGTGGGGGAAATCTCTTCCCCTCTCGTCCGGTGCTTTCCTTCCTCCAGGATAGCAGCTGGTATCCTCGCGTCGCGAGCGATGGTCATACCTCTCCGAATTAGACAGAGAGACGTCTCCGGTTCT